GTAGTTACCACCCTCTCCTTGTTTCCTAGAGAGACAGTCCCCTAAGGTCGCCCAGAGTGACCAATGCCAAGTCCAGGAGTGAATCTCCGTTGCTACTCCTATAGGTTGTTTGGGCCAACACTGGCATTCCGATAACGCTGCCGGGAATTACATACGGCGACAGGAAGGAGAAAGTCATCACACAGATACAATAGTTCACTGCCTGGTAACTTATTGCAGTCTGGAAATGCAGTTTGACCGTTGTGGAAACTGTGACAGGCACACCACGACAGCTGTGGCACAGCACGATAGGTGTGGGCACTGGGCAGGCAAAGAACGGCAGGTTTGCATGGGCATTACAAAGAGCAGCACACCCAGCATGCACCATGATAAGTCTCACCTGCATGACGGGTCTCCTCACCACAGAGGTGTAGGTTCAGTGCGGAGGGTAATCTTAAAGACATGACGGACAGATTCCACACCAGTCTCGGAACACTGTATGTCATCCATACCCAGCAGAAACATTTGAAAACTGAGGACCTTTATGCGGAGGAAGACTTCATATATCTTGAAAGCTGTTGGTGGGAGACTGCAACTCACTGGATGGCAGCCACAGAAGTCAGTAGTACAATCTTAGAGTGGTCGAGTCAGACCGTATGAAAGTACAGACGACGTATATATTGTCAATCCTTCTTGTCCGTAACATACTGATTAAAAAGTTTAAGAACTTCGTTAAAATTCTGAGTTTTACTTTGTCCTTCTCGAGTATAAATGTACATTAACGTCGAGAGAATACGGCGAAGATTCCCTCTAGAACAATGATAACGAGCTCCACGTCCTTATCTCCAGTCAGTAGGATGCTGTCAGGTCGCATACAGCCTGGTCTGTACAATGAGAGAGCTGTTTGGCCTGTAGTGCAAACTAATCTCACATCCAACCCTATCCCCCCACACACACACACACATAGAGAGTACCGTCATCACTAGTACTGAGCCCATATGTGTGCACATCCACTCATCATTACCAGTACTGACGCTCAAACTAGATAACAATTGTGTGAGTACTTCCCAGAGCTCTCAACAATACGGCCCATGTGGACGTGCATAACGCCAGACACGAGTGGAAAGCATCACTTCCACCGCTCGCTACTACCACCGTCAACGACACAAACCTAATTTATGATGCAGTTTGAAAAGTTCATGTGTGTCCATGTAGAGGGCGCGTGTCTGGCCCAAACTCTCACTCCCAAACACATAAAGACGGGTAGGCAAGGGAGGGCAGAGGAGGATGAGGTAGTTCCACGGTTGGTGCACCACAACATACGACCCCCGGTTCGTTGGGTGCCACTTAGGTGCAGCTAATGCCTGCCAGCGTTTACCATCAGCGTAAATGGCGAGAACTAAATCCCTTCCAGCATCGGTGCCGCATCACCTGATGAAATATGCAATTTGTGACTCGTGAGTCTAGACCCCCTTCACTCACCCGGCCACGACCGCCAGGGTGTATGGCTCCAGTTCTCGATGGGGAAGGTCGAGATATTCAGTGTGAAAAGTTTATCGAGTGAGAAGAATGTCATAAAAGTCACCGATAGACGACTAACAGGTCAGTGATAATGGAGACATTATATTGGTCACTTGGCAGACCAGGGAGGATATATTAATTCTACATCAGGTTACAAGATGTCACAGAGCACACACAGATTTAACAATATCAACAGCCATTGAAATGAATTATTATGCGTAGCAAGCAAGTGAATTATAAAGATTTCTCACAACTGCAAAGGTGACTCGCCATCGAGACGCCATTACACGTTATGAAATAATGAAAGAGGCGAGTCGACATGTGAAGGGGCGGTCCACCTCTTTCTCACTGGTATTAATATTGAAACAGTTTATTTAGCCAGAAGAACACGCATACAGAGTCGATTTAAAATCATATTATTAGCATGGCTGAGCCAGTTGAAAGCGCAGGCTCTCTTGTTGGCACCTTATTTATACTGGAGCACTGGGATGTCGCGGAGGATATTAGCACCAGCGGTATTAAGGCCTAATTTACGTAGTGTTCGTTATAGACACTTGGGCCTTATGGATAAGACGGTTTGATATCTCTTGCCCGAGCAGCAGCGGTTATGATAATGTGGGACGGTGTTTTACTGGAAGTGACCTGCCTTGACTTGCCCAGCACCCTCACCTGCCCAGTAATCTCAGGTGATCAGCATCCTGACCAGACCAGCGCACTGACCTGACCAACACCTTGACCTGACCAGAGGACGCATGACGGAAGTAGTCCATCTTGACTGCCTCGACTCACTGCCTGAGCTGACTCAGTTACTGGTGCTTAGTGGAGGGAGGAGTGTAGGGAGGACAGGGTGAAGGGAGGCAGATGTGGCGGTGAGGCACAGATGTTTCAAGGGAGATACACAGTTGTCACTTAGAGGATATGCAAATATCGACGAGGGGAGGCACATGTGTTGTGGGGGAAGTCACAGCTGTGGCGGGAGGAAAGTAGGTGGTGCAAGGTGAAACGTAAGAGAGGAGTTGTAGGAAAACAGGTATTGTGAAGAGGGAGAGGAGGGCTGAACTCGTGCGGAGGGGAGGAATGAGAGAGGAGAAATGTTATCCATGGGATTTCCGGGATTTGAGTGTGAATCAAGTGGTACTTCATGGAGGTGTGGTAGAGTCTGTCCGAGTTGGGTTGACCTTGAGGACAAACTTCAACTTAATATCCAATTTGTTTTTGAATACTACATTAAATCATCTCACAGACACTCAAAATTCCCTCGGCATCATTAACATTAAGATACAATAATTGCCAGAATGTTTGTGGTTACCGATCTCTTGGCTGTATATGTTACCCCCTTCTTCAGTAACACCAGCCAGGCCTCCCTCTTGGTACACAATGAAGTGCTTTACCTAAATCTTGTCACATACAGATTGGTAATCTTATTGCGCCCAACAACTAGAGTCAGATCACGAAGGATACTACCAGCGTCAGCTTCCAAGAGATTACTAAAATGCTTTACATTATATTACAGATGTGCTGAAGGAGTCGACAACATATGAAGTGATGCAGCGAAATGGCACTTTTTTGGTCGCATTCATTACGTCTGTCTCAAAAATGTAAATTACACATCGACATATTTAATGGTCTTACACTGTTAAGTATGTCAACTTTCAGGTCAAAGATTTACATTACTGACTCGCAAATATTTCTGGCATACTAGCTCGTTGCTCGTGTCTTGTCCCCGCCGGGAGCACCTACCATGATGAGGGGTCGCCTGGGGGCTGTGCTGGCAGAGTTATAAGAGCAGAAGTTACGCTCTACACGAATTTCTCCTTGGTTGTGGCTGTGTATACATATTTACAATGTCTAAACACACAGCTCCCTCATTTCCGTAAGTGAGTCATGTGTGGCGGGGTGCAGTAAAAACCCGTGCTGCTAGTGTAGCTCTGGGAGTCATGAGGGCGCTGCTTGATGATGCTTCACTGATCCATAAGGCTTCACGTACTTTAAGTGACCAGGTCTGTTTCTCGTACACCCAGGGGGAGAATGGGGGAGTGAGAACTGGAAGATCTGGGTATATGATGATAGCCTGGCCAGAGTGAATACCTTTGATGCCTGATCTATACATGACAATATTAACCCATCACAGTTCTTATTGCAAAATACAATACAAAATATTATAATATCCCCCCACAAGTATAAGCTCAGCCTGTAGTGTAGAATGTGGACTTCACGTTTTATATATATATATATATATATATATATATATATATATATATATATATATATATATATATATATATATATATATATATATATATATATATATATATATATATATATATATATATACTATTAACCAGATATGGATTACACGGCGCTTGGGAACTTCGTGTTTTCTTTTTCCTTGTGGTTATCAGCATATACCTGGATCACGCGCACCTACAGTGATTTACTTGCGTGCATATATATATATATATATATATATATATATATATATATATATAGATATGTATATTGCGGTGTGTTAAAAGAGCCTGATGCCAACCCACTGCCTGTCAAAACTTCTTCTTCGCTGGTGAAGAATTGAGGGTGTGAGAGCAAGTTGTGAGGTGGTGAGCTGTTCTGGGGAGGAAGGCTGCCTGAGGAGGGAGGAAGGCTGCCTGGGAGGAGGAGGGAGTCTGTCTGGGGGAGGGAGTCTGTCTGGGGGGGGGAGGGAGTCTGCCTGGGGGGGAGGGACTCTGTCTGGGGAAGAGAGGGAGGGAGTCTGTCTGAGGAAGAGAGGGACTCTGTCTGGGGAAGAGAGGGAGGGAGTCTGTCTGGGGAAGAGAGGGACTCTGTCTGGGGAAGAGAGGGAGGGAGTCTGTCTGAGGAAGAGAGGGACTCTGTCTGGGGAAGAGAGGGAGGGAGTCTGTCTAGGGAGGGAGGGAGCCCACATCTTCACCGCCTATCTATATCGCCCCCACAGATGCTCCTCCTCCCCCTCCACAGGTGTTACCTCGGCAACAGTTATCACCTGTGGGCAGGTACCGTGAGGGTGAAATTTACAGTTTAAAAACAATTATAACTAGCCACTGTGGCTCTACAGGTGACACTATAGAGGAAGACCAGCCAGTGGAAAGTGCGAGTAAAAATTATAATCAACTTAGTATATTCATTTGAAAAACCTTGTTCACACCACAGAGCTTCTGTACTTGTCATTTGGCCAGCAGTTCCGGCAATATAATGGGGAAATAAAATTTAAATCAGCTGAAGATTAGAGACCTCAGCTTTTTACACTTGATTATTAAATACTACCGTATTACGATATACTGAGGATTGGGTTAGGTGAGGTTAGGTGAGGTTCGAGCTTGGGTACCTAATCTTTAAGTGATCTAACACAAATCACACTAGGTCTTAGAAACTCATTACACTGGAGATGCCCCACAAACCTACAGTTACCCCTGGTACTCGTCCGGGCAGTAAATAGTACTTACCAGTGGGCATCGAGTAATAACTGTAGGGTATACGGTACTTACGTGCAGGGTGGCATGCTTGGGTACGGTGCCTGAGTCCTGGGCCCTCACACTCAGCCAGTACCGCGATACAGTCTCCCGGTCAAGCCATGACGATGTGTAGATGGAACCTGTAACAACAACAACACCGTCACTCATACTTACAAACAAAACCTCTCAAAACAACATGGATTTTTTGTCTTTGTTTTAGTCACGTAAATAATTAATAAATAAATACACAGTAATTAAAACAAATACCAACAGTACAATGATAAAGTAAACAGTACAAATACATGTTTCACAGCGGACAACCTGACGACTACAAGAGTTGCAGTGTGTAGAGGTATGTGTTCTTTACCTAGAGTTTACCTGATGACGATTTCTGGGGTTCTTTCTGTTCCCTACCCACCTCCCCTCCTAACTTCCCACCTCCCTCCCCCTCTCACCCACCTCCCTCCCCTCTCACCCACCTCCCTCCCCTCTCACCCACCTCCCTCCCCCTCTCATCCACCTCCCTCCCCCTCTTAACTTCCCATCAGATTTCGACGTGATCAATGTGGCTATTCCAATACTCTCACTCACCATAAATTTATAATACAACTAATCGCACCACAGACAACAGGGCCACAGACAACAGGGCCACAGACAACAGGGCCACAGACAACAGCGCCACAGAGACACAGACAACAGGGCCACAGACAGGAGAGGTAACATGCCTGCTACGTGGTGTGTGAAAGGCGTGTTCACCAGAGATAAGTCAAGCTGGCATTACCCAGAGCTTAGTGGACCGAGCCCAACCGCCAGGCACTCCTACTTCACCCTTACGTTCCTGTGCCCGGGATAGGAGGGAGTGGGTCTGGGATAGGAAGGGAAATTTGAGAAGGACATCAACAACAAAATCTGACCTAACGAGGAAGGGGATCAGGCAAGGCTGTAGAATCCCTCTCTCGTATACTTCTGACTTGTTAATATTACAGTCGTGTTATTTATGGTGATGGCTTACGAACTGTTTAAGTCACTCACAATACTTCTTCACTGATTATTGAATCAACAGGGATTTGGTTTTTACCACAGGGGACTGCAGCGGGTAAAATCCTCTTACTTACCCCCCTCCCACATCTTCATCCGCTCAGTTAATCCTGTATCAAGTTACGTTATCATGAACCTTGTGGGAAAAGTGGGAAAAGATCATGTTCTCGATAGATATCAGCTTCATATCAGTTCAGAGATAATACGATGCTGAAGTTTGTATTTTATTGATGTTCGATAAAATAATCAAAGTTAGGGATGTATATTTTCACCGGAGTCACGACGCTTGCCACTCTTGTACAGTTTTTGTATCCTGGACTGAGTTTGATAACCTAAGGAGTTGCAGATCCATTTCCGAGTGACCCACACACTCAATACTTTTCCGTCTGTTCGAAAAGTTTGATTGATAAGAGTTTTATATTGTTACGCTATCGCAGATCACTGCTGTTTTATAAATAGATTTTTGAACAGTTCGTCATCCACTCCTCCCTGAACCGCATTTCAATTTACTTCTTAAACTTAGGAGAAATTATCAACAAAGATTATAGAACATTGCTCCCAACCCGACCTCTCATGACGTTTTTCTCTCCAGCCTAACGTGTCGTAAGCATCATCAAGCTAAACCTTCAATACTAGTTTTTTCATACCTGATAAAAAAATCTACATTATAATCTTAATCCCTGTGTGACAATATCCCGGGAGGCAAATATTCCCGAGGACTGTAATAATGAAAATATGTCTTCCATCTTCTACTCCATGAAGGACCTCTCTCTGTCAGAGAGGATTAAACCCTTTGATAACTGCTGAGCCCCTCAGGACCCAGTATGAGGGAGGAGTGTCTCGTTAACTACAGGAAGAGCAATGGTGTGTGACCAATACCTACCTGAAGAAGGACGCGGGAGGAGGAACCGGCCGTAATAACGACTTGTCAGCGTCCTTGAAGAGCTTTCTCTGGCCACTAAAGCTGGGTTTAGAGTCTCAAAGATTCTGGAGTAAAATCTCAACCCCAACTTGGGATAACAGAACGCACACAGTAGTTCCAGGATGACTTGGGTGCAACCCCAAAAGTCATTTTCATCGCCATCTCTTAGTCGTGGCTTCAGTGAGTTAAATCACCCGCCTTACAAATCACCATTTGGAGGGTAACATCTTATGTACGACCCTATGAGAATCCAGGCTGTGAGCTGCCGGACAACACACTATCCTCACTTCCTCCCATTCGTCTCCCATGTTGGATCACCGTCTTTGTGGTGTAAGCCGTCCATTGTGTGCCAGCCAGCCTCTACCGCGGCGCTCTGTATGGACACCTATCTTTGTCTTTACACGACCTTGTTATCCTATTACCACAGTTCCATCTTCCCTCCCATCTTCATCCTTTCCCCTACATATCTTTCCTCCGCATCGTAACTACATGACAATATTGTGTTCTAAACACGATCCCATTCCTTCCTACTATCTTTCATCTTCAATTTTTTCTTGCCTTATCTTCATTCCTTTCCATCCATCGTCCCACACAACCTTGCTGCCTTCTTCCCTTCATTCATCCTATCATTCTTCTTCTCCTCCATGTCTCTGTGTTTCATCCCTCTCTCTCGCTGCCATGACACCGCGCCTCGCTCATCCCTCAAGATGTTATCGGGTCCACAACCGCGTCGTGGGAGGATACTGCTCCTTCCTGTGTCACCAACACTCCACCAACACCACAACTCCTTCCATTGCTCCCAACACGGTAACTACTCCACTACCCCCAATAGAACGGTCTCAAAACACACAGAGAGAGAGAGAGAGAGCGAGAGAGAGAGAGAGAGAGAGAGAGAGAGAGAGAGAGAGAGAGAGAGAGAGAGAGAGAGAGAGAGAGAGAGAGAGAGAGAGAGAGAGAGAGAGAGAGAGAGAGAGAGAGTAGAGAGAGAGAGAGAGAGAGAGAGAGAGAGAGAGAGAGAGAGAGGAGAGAGAGAGAGGAGAGAGAGAGAGAGAGAGAGAGAGAGAGAGAGAGAGAGAGAGAGAGAGAGAGAGAGAGAGAGAGAGAGAGAGAGAGAGAGAGAGAGAGAGAGAGAGAGAGAGAGAGAGAGAGAGAGAGAGAGAGAGAGAGAGAGAGAGAGAGAGAGAGAGAGAGAGAGAGAGAGAGAGAGAGAGAGAGAGAGAGAGAGAGAGAGAGAGAGTAGAGAGAGAGAGAGAGAGAGAGAGAGAGAGAGAGAGAGAGAGAGAGAGAGAGAGAGAGAGAGAGAGAGTAGAGAGAGAGAGAGAGAGAGAGAGAGAGAGAGAGAGAGAGAGAGAGAGAGAGAGAGAGAGAGAGAGAGAGAGAGAGAGAGAGAGAGAGAGAGAGAGAGAGAGAGAGAGAGAGAGAGAGAGAGAGAGAGAGAGAGAGAGAGAGAGAGAGAGAGAGAGAGAGAGAGAGAGAGAGAGAGAGAGAGAGAGAGAGAGAGGAGAGAGGAGAGAGAGAGAGAGAGAGAGAGAGAGAGAGAGAGAGAGAGAGAGAGAGAGAGAGAGAGGAGGGAGAGAGAGAGAGAGAGAGCGAGAGAGAGAGACGGTAGCTCAATAGACAAGGAAGGTTACCACTTCTGCTGAACAACCAATAACGTGTCTACAGTGGCCTTAGCTGGGTCACAGGAGGTACGTGTCCGAAATAGGGATCTTTTTCATTTAATACGCTATGACTTCTTCACCTCCGTTCATCCTTACTAGGTTCAATAGCGAGACTAGTGAAGCCAAGCACTCGACACTTAAACCTATAGAGTCGACGAGACTCACGCCAGTCAACACTTCAAGACAACACAGTCGAGGACACTCCGACCACAAATTTGATGACACTTACAACAAATATTCGACATATAAACCAAAAAGTCGACATTCAGGCCACGTAGTAGACAATGGCAAGTCCTCTTATTCACAGGACATTCGTTCCTCGAGTTTCTCCAGAGTCTCTTGACCCAGAGGACTCTTATTCGAATCTAACTGCCGGCCACTGGGTGGGTGTCCCCCCAGTCGATCCAGCTGCAGCATTCCCATTCACTAAAGAAGTGAAAGACGCTAGAGAATAGCGCAAGATCGGAACGCTCTCTTCTTGTGTCCAAAGGCTAAGTATTCAGAGGGCTGCATCTATGCGGCCTACAGGACCCACTTCGTTATTTATTCAATATGTATAATATACATTGTATATTCATTTATGCATTTATATATCTGTTTAGTTATTTATCGCCGTCTTCCAAGAAGTGGTTTATAAACCGATCTCTTCTCTACATCTTACGAGCTGGCTGGACGCCCTGTTGACCAAGAGAAATTAATAAACGGAGGAAGATCTGGTCTGCCTCGGCAATATCTCTTTAAGGCACATCCAGGCATCGTTTATTTGTGAACATTGTCAACACACGAGGCATCGATGTTAAATGTGTATATCCCACCTACGGGAATTATAAAGTAAGAATTCAGAGACGCAATTTTCTCCCGAGGATTTAATTATACGCTACGTTCAACTACACTTTCTGCTTAAAATAAATTACAAAATGCAGTAAATTAATGATGCAGTTTGACTGTATGGAATATTTTTATAAGTGATTTGCCTATAAGAGATTTATAAGATAAGACACGTTCTTTACTTCAGTTACTTACAAAATACTGATATAATTTACCTACTGGAAAGTAATAAGTTTAGTTTAAAGATGCATTTAACTTAGAGAATAAACATATCCTTAAATTTTGCTTCTTGGAATACAAATCAAAGATATTTTCTGAGAATTTTATATTATGTCCTTAAGAGGTTTACACAATAGTTAAAATATACATTTGTGTCAACAGCAATACATAACTCGGTTCAATCGAGTAGGTATTGGCCGGGCAATTTATCATGGAATTGACACGCGGGTAAAGGCGGGCGCTCCTCCCTACTATCACCTCGGCCAGACCACACACCGAAAACACTATAGAACCATAATAATACAAACCAGGAGCAGGGCCACTGTACCTCCTGCCTGTGTCAAGAGGATACGATGGTATGGTCGTGACGAGGCAGTGTCAGGTTTGGATTACTTACTACTACTACTTTGCTGTCACCCAGTGTGAGCGACAAGGGTGAGGTCGTCTACACACACACTGACCACCGACGGGT